ATAGATATTGGTCTGTAGTTTTCCTTTTCTGTCATGTCCTTATCTGTTTTGGGAATGAGGATAATGGAGGCTTCATAAAATGACTTTGGGAGGTTTCCTTCCTTTTGGATCTTCTTCCTTTTGGATCTTTAGGAATAATTTGAGTAGAATAAGGGTTAACTCTTTCTTAAAAGTTTTGTAGAATTCAGAAGTGAAGCCATCCAGACTGGGTGTTTTCTTTGCTGGGTAATTATTTATTTCTGATTTAATCTTGGTAGATTATATGAATCCAGAATTTTTTTAGTCTTCTCCATGTTCTCTTGTTTGTTAGTTATAGTATTCTCTAATGATGTTTTTTATTTCTGTTGTGACTGCTGTAATGTTGCTTTTTTGATTACGTATTTGATTTAACTGGCTTCATTCTTTCTTCTGTTTTATCAGTCTTGATTTTGTGTCCTATCATATGGTAAATTTTTGAAAATGTTCTATGCTGGGGTTAGAAAATTAATTATTTTGTGATCTTAGGGTGGAAAGTCCTATTGATGTCTGTGAAGCCCATTTGATTGATATCATCATTTATGTCCTCTCTCTCTCTCTCTTTGCCTAGAAGGTCTGTCTAAAGGAGATAATGGGGTGTTGAAATCCCCAACAATTATAAGGTTGCACCCTATCTCTCCTTTTTACTCCAGCAGTGTTTCCTTCACGTGTTTAGGTGCTCGAGTTGGGTGCATAGATATTTGTAAGCAACATCTCTTCTTGATGAATTAGACCATTTACTATTATAAATGTGTCCTGTTCTCATTTTTGAAGTCTTTGTCTTGAAGTTTATTTTGTCTGACATCAGTATTACAACTCCAGTCCTTTTCTTATTTCTATTTTCATGCAATATCTTTTTCCAGCCCTTCACTCTCAGTCTATGCATATCTTTATCTATAAGGTGCATTTCTTGTAGCCAACAGATAGATGGCTTCTGTTCCCCCCCCCCGTCCGGCCCGCTTGTTCCTAGCCAGTCTGTGTCTCTTAACTGGAGATTTTAATCCATTAATATACAATTTATTTTCTTTTGTTGTTGTTGTTGTTGTTGTTGTCTTCTAACAATCCATCTGGCTTTTTAATTTTCCTGGTATAGCACTTCTGTCAGAACCTCTTGAAGTGCTGATCTGGAGTTGGTAAATTCTTTCAGGTTTTATTTATCTGAGAATGTTTTTGTCTTTTTTTCCCCCCACATGAAAGATAATCTTGCTGGGTATAGTATTCTTGGTTGAAATTATTTTTCATTTGACACTTTGACTATATTTCCCCATTCTTTCCTTGCCTGCATTGTTTCTGATGAAAGGTCTGATGTTAGCCTGATGGGATAATCTTTGTAAGTAACTTGATGCTTTCCTCTTGCCAATTTTAGTATCTTATTTTTGTGATTTTGGCCAATCTGGCTATGATGTGCTTTGGAGAGTATTTTCTTGGACTGATTCTATTTGGAGTCCTATGTATTTCTTTGGATATTTAAATACCTTTCTATGTTTGGAAAGTATTCTTCCAGGATTTCATAAAATAAGTTATCAATGCCCTTATTATTTTCTTTCTCTTCTGGGATACCAATTATCCAGATGTTGGGGACCTAGATGGTATCTAAGTTTTCTAATATATTATCCTCATTTTTTTTTGGTTGTTTTCTTAGCCCTTTTGATACTTTTTTTCTAGGACAGAGGTTTTGTCTTCTACATTCGAGATTTGATCTTCTGTGTAATCTAATCTACTTTTAATACTTTCAAGGGAGGTTTTAATTTCCTGTATCACATTCTTCATCTCTAACAATTTCGTTTGATTCTTTTTTATGGTGTCTATTTCTTCTTTTAAATCATGAAAGAACTTACTCATCTTCTGGAGCTCACTGTTTCTTTTCTCTTGCATCTCATTTATATTGGTCATTACAAATATTCTGAGTTGCTTATCCAACATTGCTATGATTTCTATTGTGTTGTCTGTGGGTGATTCGGAATTGATGTTTCCCTTGGGGAAGAGACATTTCATTGGTTGCTCATATTTCTTGTGCCTCTGCCACTGTTCCTAGTCATCTGGTAATCTCTAAGTTCCTTCTTAATTTATTCAAGATATCTCTGAGTGTTCATAAATGTGCAGAAGTAGAAAATTGGTGATTTCTCTTCTGCTCTGTCTCCCTGGTATTCACTAGCACCCTGCACTACTGTCATGGGTCTTGGGTGACTCAAAGTCCTCCCTGTTTCTAAAGAATAGGTGCATCTGAAACTGAGCTTCTGAGCTTCACCTCAGGAGTAAAGAAAAGAAAGTGAGGTGTGCTACACGCTATCCAAAACACATAAGTCCTGAGATTTCAAAGGCGAGTGGGGGAGTGGATGAGTCTCACATCCAGTTTAGAACCTGCAGCCACAGGCAGCTTGAGATCCAGGAAGGCCATTTGTTTCAACCTGTATCTGGATGGGGTGAGGAGGGGCACAAGTTTGTCTTAAAGTTCCAAGACACAAAACTGAAGTCCAAAGGCGAGCGGTGGAGGGGATGAGCCAAGAGTCCCAGCTATTAGGCCCTGAATCCACAGGTAGTCTGGTATCCTTTTGCTTCAACTGGTATCCGGATCTACATCAGAAGCATTGAAGTCTCTCTTGCTATAACGTGTTTAAGCTGGAATTTCTTTGTCAATTTTAAAAAAATATTTGCTATAGAGTACATGTACCCAAGAGAAACAGAGACAAAAACAATGAAAGAGAAAGAGAGAGAGAAAGTGAAAAAGTACTTTCCAGGGGTGATGGCCATGCCACAATCCCTTCTCCATTATTCTCTTGGGATTTAGGGCACACATGCACACATGCCTGGCATATTTCTCATGTCATTGAGTCTGAGACTCTAATGGCTTAGTTAGTTATGTGGGATCTAGTCACCTTAACTACTATGCCACTGGGTGGCCTTTAGCTGGTTTTTCTGCATTAGGATGGGGGATAGTTATAGAGAAACAAAGATAGGTTGATTTTGATTGCATGCTATCTGTTGCAAATCCTTGAGTAAATTAGACTTAGTATTTAGAAATAGTATTATCAATATTTTTTATCAAGCCAGAGCTATACAATTAAAGCATAATAAAAGATGATATAAATCTATTTATTTGTTAAGTATATACAGCACATATCAGTAATTCAGGACCCTAAATTTTATCTAAATTACACAAATTGACTCTTATCATTGTCTTAAATTAATGTATACTTTAAAAACATTTCCCTTTGAATTACCAATATAAAGCTGGCATTAATATTATTATGCAAAATATACTAAACTTTTGTAATTTGGTATGTCTTGATTAATAATAACATATTCCAGAATTTAATGGATAATTTAAAAAATAATTGAATTATTGCCATAAAAATATTGTTACAGTGTAATACAGGGGACTCCAGTAAGTTTACATGAAAGTGTAATTAAAGTGCAAGTTTACTTTGGTGCAAATAATTTTTGATATCCATGCATAATTTTTTTTTTTGGAGAGATTTTCGCTATAGGGCGCATGCGCTCGCCAGACAGACAGAGAGAGACATAGAGACAGAAAGTGAGAAATCACCCTCCGGGGGGATGGTCACTCTGCAATCCCTTCTCCTCCATTCTCCTCTTGGGATCTTGGGCATGCATGCACACTCGCCCGGCGTGAGTTTTAAGCCACTATGTGGGAGTCCAGCGACATAGCCATTACGCAAACTGCTGGTTCCCCATACATAATTTTTTCATAGTACACACTTTCTATGAGCTTTTTAAAAAATCTCTTCAAAAAAGAGTATATAGAGGCACAGTCAATTCATTTACCATTGCATGGTGACATACTTAAGAAAAATCTCAAAGGCCATTTGAAATGCCAGTATTAAACAACATAATTCTTTTGCCTGGTCTCAATCATCATAGTTAACTTATTTGCCATTCCTTACACAATGAGTGATAAATGATAAGTTAAATTTTAGCTGTTATTCCTTCTATATTTTTATTAGAGCTATCTTGGGAATGTATTCTCAACAACATGTAAAAACACATTTGTTAATGTATAGAGTATACTGTGGTGTGTATTATAAGATTTTTAACATTTGGGGCCAGATGGTGGTACAGTGGCAAAATGTGATGCTCTGCAATGTAATCCCAGTTGGGAAAGTTCCCAATTCAAGTCTAAAGACCTCTGAGTATGTTGGGCATATTCATGAACCTGGAAATTGCTGAAGGCAGGAGTGGATTGCTGCATCAAGACTCTGTTGGTGGTTCAGTCTCTCCATCTCTGTCTCACTCTATGTGTTCTTGCTCATATAAGAAATAAATTTAAAAATTAAAGCAATATTTTATAACATTAGCAAATAGAACTGTCCTCTGAAATTTTTTCTTACATTTGGAATGTCCTTATCTTATATTCTCAAAAAGTTTATTTTATTCATGACAGAGAGCACATATGTGCATGAGAGAGAGAGAGAGATAGAGAGAGAGAAAGAGGGGGAAGAACTCTCAACAGGATCTAGCTGTGTCAGCTTTTGTTCCCTGGCCCTCTACTCTAGGTCATCAGGATCTTAGGTGCACATGTGTACACACACACACACACACACACACACACACACACATACACACAAACATTTTCAAACCCAGCTGGGGATCTGAACCTACAGTCAGCCATGTGTCTTTCAGCATCATAGTTTAGTTTGCTATAAGATATGCACTAGGTTGGGCCTGAAATATTTTTGCTTAGATATCTACTGGACTATGTATGCAAGTATATATTTTAAATGTTGAGATAAAAGAGTTTTAATATGCAGATTCCTGGGTTGACTGGATTACTCTTAAAGCTCAGATTTCCACTTTTCAATGTGACTTTCTACACCCATTGGCTTTCATTCTATCTTCAGTTAGCCATTCAGAGTTTCTCTGGGATGCTTCTATTTGTTTATGCTTTGAATTTAATAAGTATGTCAATTGAATTTATATATTTATGTGTTGTGCACTTATAAGTAACTCAGATATTTTCTTGGTAGCCGCAGCTGTGAAACAACCATTTCAATCCCATCCCCAGAACCTTCGAATCAAGACCTCATGGGTAACATTCAAGAAATACTGACCACAAACTTTTATAAAATCAGGAGAATGGTAAGATTTTTTCCAGTATATATCACTTTATTAGTTACAGAAATAGAATAAATATAGTTTCTTTTCTTTTTATAGTTTTAAATGAACTTCTACTGAACCTCGACTCTTATATATGCCATAGGAATATTGGCAGGGTAAATATAATGACAAGTCAGTGTTTATGTCACATTCAGACTTGTTACTACTCATAAGAATGTGCTTTAACATTTTCTATTTAACTATCAGTGCAGTGCATTATACTATACCTATGAGTTCTAAAAGATGATGGTATTTTCTTAAGTATACAATTTTCTACAGTAAACTCTATTCTATTTTGTTATTGGAAAAGTTATGATGTATTTTTCCATGCAAAAATGCAACATGACTTTCTGATGATCCAATACTTAGAAAAAAATCAGGTATTTTAGTTATTAAGGAAAAATTTGTTACTAGCAAGCTGCCAAATTACACAACTATGTATTTAAACTGTAATAAAATACATCTAATAAGTCTAGTATTGAATGGTAGGTCATATTTCTTTGATAATGTGGAAATATACTAATTCTTAAGCACATAAGATTCCTATTTTTTCCTCTTATTCACTGAAAAAAAATTTAATACAAATGAGAAGGAACAATTTCATTTTGAAATGAATGTTTACTTTTATGTTAGAGACAGCTTAACTTAAACTTGAAGATTTTAGGTCATTGCTGTTAAGATCATTTTTACTTCTTGTCATTATTCTGTAACCCTAGGTACAAATAAATGTAATGAAGTGCCAGATAACATAAATCTCGAAAATATTTTGTTTGGTAGTGTCTTGGGTAACAGAGTTACTGTGTGATAGAAAGGCTTATATGATAGAGTTCAATGGACATGAAAATCACTTTGAGCTTTTGAATATTTGGAACATAATTATAGTAATATTACCTAACAATAATAAATGAATATTATTTTTACTGCTACCTTAAGTGTAATAAAATAGTTCTATAAAATTAGTATAACAATGTGATGTCATTTTTCCTTAAGTTTATTTATTTTTTTTAATATTTTAATTAAAAATGTCAATAAGTTTCTATTTATATATTTTGAGAATTTTTTTAATCGCAAGTTCTTTTATACATTCAATCACTTTAGTTAGCTTGTAAAGTGAATATTTCATGTGTGCATTTCTCCCCAGTCCAGTTGACAATACTATAAAGTTATCTTCAGAAGATAATACCCCCTTTCTTTGTCCCATTAATGCTCTGCCTTCCTAATTTTTTCCTCAATGTTCTTCCTCAGACTCTATTCCTTCACCTATCCTCTTCCCACCCTATATCAGGTACGCACAACCATTTACTGTGTTTCTATATCCTTTAGTCATTCAGTTTTGGTCATAGGGTGGGGACACTTGGCATATATTAAGTGGAGACATACAATGTCTCTCCTTGATAGCCTGACTTGTTTCACTCAGCAGTAAATCTTCCGTATTCCTCCACTTTCTGTCAAAAGCCAGGTTTTTTTTTTTTTTTAGTTTCCATACAGTATATGTGCCATGGTTTTTCAATCCATTTCTCTATTCGCGGGCATTTGGGCTGGTTCCATGTCTTAGCAATTGTGAATAATGCCACAATAAATATTGTTGTGCAAGCACTTTTATGATTAAGAATTCTTCTGTCCTTTGGGTAGATACCAAGGAATGGAATTGCTGGATAATATGGAAATTCTATATGTAGATTTTTGAGGAATCTCCAAGTTCTTCTTCACAGTGGCTGGACCAATTTACATTCCCACCAGCAGTGTAAGAGATGTCCCCTTTCACCACACCCCCACAAGCACTTATCAATTTTTATTTTTTAATCTTAGTTATTCTGACTGGGGTTAGGTGGTATCTAATTGATGTTTTGATCTGCATTTTCCTTACAATGAGGAATGGTGAACAGTTTTTCAAATGCCTTTTGGCTATTCATACGTCGTTCTTAGAGAGTGTTTTTTCAACTCATTCTGCCATCTTTTAATAGGATTATTCATACTTTTTTGGGACAGCTGCTTGAGTTCCTTGTTTATTCTGGTTATCAGTTCCTCATCTGATGCATAGTTTACAAAACTATTTTCCCATTCGGAGGGCTACTGATTCACACCAATTACTGTGTCTTTTGCCATGCAAAAACTTCTTAGTCTGATGTAATCCCAGGTGTCTATTTTGGGGAATATTGACTGTGCTTTGAGGGTCTTATTTAAGAAGACTTTGCCTACCTCAATGCCTAGAAAGCTGCTAAATTACACAATTGTAAAGATTTAAACTTTAATAAAATACATCTAATAAGTCTAGTATTGAATGGTAGATCAGGGTTTCCCCAGTGTTTCCTAGGAACATTTTATAGTTTGAGATCTTAGGTTTAGATCTTTGATCCACCTTAGTTCATTTTTTCATTGGTGAGAAGTAGAGGTTCAGATTCATCTCTCTGCAGGTGGATATCCAGCACTATATGCTCAAGAGGTTTTCCTTTTCCCACTGGATTGATGTCCCGACCCACAGGACCGTTGAACAGGTTTCTTGACCTAACAATAATAAATGAATATTATTTTTACTGCTACCTTAAGTGTAATAAAATAGTTCTATAAAATTAGTATAACAATGTGATGTCATTTTTCCTTAAGTTTATTTATTTTTTTTAATATTTTAATTAAAAGTGTCAATAAGTTTCTATTTATATATTTTGAGAATTTTTTTAATCGCAAGTTCTTTTATACATTCAATCACTTTAGTTAGCTTGTAAAGTGAATATTTCATGTGTGCATTTCTCCCCAGTCCAGTTGACAATACTATAAAGTTATCTTCAGAAGATAATACCCCATTTCTTTGTCCCATTAATGCTCTGCCTTCCTAATTTTTTCCTCAATGTTCTTCCTCAGACTCTATTCCTTCACCTATCCTCTTCCCACCCTATATCAGGTACGCACAACCATTTACTGTGTTTCTATATCCTTTAGTCATTCAGTTTTGGTCATAGGGTGGGGACACTTGGCATATATTAAGTGGAGACATACAATGTCTCTCCTTGATAGCCTGACTTGTTTCACTCAGCAGTAAATCTTCCGTATTCCTCCACTTTCTGTCAAAAGCCAGGTTTTTTTTTTTTTTAGTATTCCATACAGTATATGTGCCATGGTTTTTCAATCCATTTCTCTATTCGCGGGCATTTGGGCTGGTTCCATGTCTTAGCAATTGTGAATAATGCCACAATAAATATTGTTGTGCAAGCACTTTTATGATTAAGAATTCTTCTGTCCTTTGGGTAGATACCAAGGAATGGAATTGCTGGATAATATGGAAATTCTATATGTAGATTTTTGAGGAATCTCCAAGTTCTTCTTCACAGTGGCTGGACCAATTTACATTCCCACCAGCAGTGTAAGAGATGTCCCCTTTCACCACACCCCCACAAGCACTTATCAATTTTTATTTTTTAATCTTAGTTATTCTGACTGGGGTTAGGTGGTATCTAATTGATGTTTTGATCTGCATTTTCCTTACAATGAGGAATGGTGAACAGTTTTTCAAATGCCTTTTGGCTATTCATATGTCGTTCTTAGAGAGTGTTTTTTCAACTCATTCTGCCATCTTTTAATAGGATTATTCATACTTTTTTGGGACAGCTGCTTGAGTTCCTTGTTTATTCTGGTTATCAGTTCCTCATCTGATGCATAGTTTACAAAACTATTTTCCCATTCGGAGGGCTACTGATTCACACCAATTACTGTGTCTTTTGCCATGCAAAAACTTCTTAGTCTGATGTAATCCCAGGTGTCTATTTTGGGGAATATTGACTGTGCTTTGAGGGTCTTATTTAAGAAGACTTTGCCTACCTCAATGCCTAGAAAGCTGCTAAATTACACAATTGTAAAGATTTAAACTTTAATAAAATACATCTAATAAGTCTAGTATTGAATGGTAGATCAGGGTTTCCCCAGTGTTTCCTAGGAACATTTTATAGTTTGAGATCTTAGGTTTAGATCTTTGATCCACCTTAGTTCATTTTTTCATTGGTGAGAAGTAGAGGTTCAGATTCATCTCTCTGCAGGTGGATATCCAGCACTATATGCTCAAGAGGTTTTCCTTTTCCCACTGGATTGATGTCCCGACCCACAGGACAGTTGAACAGGTTTCTTGAGGGAAGGAGTGAGAGACAGGACTAATGGCACAATGTTACAACTTTTCAGAGTCGTCCATTTATTGTGGGCCAGGGATGGTGGTTAAATACATGTTGGTGGGTGGTGATTGGTTAAATGAAGGATTGTAAAAGGTGGGTTATGATTGGTTGCTTTTGTGAACCAATCATGAGGTGCCGGATATGCAAGTCTGAGGGATTCTAGCCTCGCCAGTCAGTGAGCGCCATGGGAAGTGGCCAATCAGAGCATGGTTTTGAAGGTGAGCTTCTGAAGGGGAGCCAATCATGGCCTTTGTAATTGTGTACTTGTTTGCTTTCTGGGAAACCGAAACCTAGTAAGAGACTCATGAAAATGGCCTCGGCAGACTCGCTGGTGCGCAGCCTCCCACAGATTGACTGGTACCCCTTGTCAAAAGTCAGTTGACTGTATGATTGAGAATTTATTTTTTGAGACTCTATTCTGTTCCATTGGTCCACCTGTCTGTTTCTTTGCCAGTACCATGCTGTTTTGATTACCACAGCTTTATAGTATATTTTTGGGTCTGGGAGTGAGATGCCACCCACTCCACTCTGCTTGTGCAGGATTTCTTTGGCAATATGAGGTCTTTTATGATTCCAGACTAATTTCATGATTGTCTTTTCTAGATCTGTGAAGAATGTGTCTGGTATTTTGATTGAGATTGCATTAAATATGTAGATTAATTTGGATAGAATTGCCATTTTGATTATATTAATGCTTCCAATTCAATGACATGGGGTGTCTTTCCACTTTTTTGTGTGTCATTTTCAATTTCTTTTTTTAGCTTTCGTAGTTTTCTTTGTGGACATCTTTAAAGTCTTTGGTTAGCTTTATTCCTTAGTATCTTA